CCCGTGGTCTTGGCCGCGCCAAGTGACAAGCGCGCAGGTGCCTCTGTCGCCCCACCGATATCCCTCGCGAGCGCCATGCCGCAGGCAGAAGCCAACAGCGCCGCGCGCGCAGACCGTGATGCCAAAGACACTGCTGCTGACAACGGACCTGCTGCTGCCTTATAGAAAACTAAGTCATTTTCATTGTAAATATAGAGTAGTTTATTTCATGCACTTCCATTATGTTTCTCTAGCTTAATTAGGTCTACTCCTGTAACTTTGGTTTATCTTTTTTAAGTACTATTAGGGGGATCAAGCAATCAAAACTTTCTAGCAAGCAAGCAATTCTCTGTACTGGTGTCTCTCCCCCTCGACACCGCGTTGCTTTTCTGTAATAGCTTTCATTAATGCAATCAAGCTTTCTTTCATTCTGAATTCTCATTCTGTTCTCTCAATTGCTCTTGACATTGGTTTTCCCGTACGGCACTGACAATCTCGTCTAGCGTACGGAGGGGACCTCAGTTGGCGGACAGCAACTGAACTGACATCAGTTGCCTAGCCGTACGCGCCCTTCCAAGGAATCTCAGGAAGGCGCCGCGTATCAGTAAGCACGCGAGAATTCTAATCATTAATAGTTACTATATCTAACCAAAGAGTACTGAGCATGTACTCCATCCATCCCAATTCATGTGAAGGTGTTTGACTAGACACAGAGTGTAAGAAATAACGGAAGATTTTGAAACATATGGTCTAAAACAAACCATAAAAGTTTGTATGACTAGAAATCATCTCATTAGGGATAGAAAGAGAAATTTAAAGTTAAATTGTTACTAAATATGAAAAAAAAATATTATTCTTTTGAATGTGACCATTCGATAAAAAGCACCAAAAAAGGCATGTCTGATAGCTCCTTCACCAACATCCCTCCATTACTCCTCCAAGAATATATATATAAAATATCTCCTACCCTCCATTTTATAAAATAAATATTTATTAGTTTGTCCAAAAAAATAACATATTTATCATTTTAATTTTACTATTCATATTTCATAACATGCTTTTATATTAATCACATATATCAAAAATTATAATTTTTTTGTTTTTCAGATTTCGTGCCAGTCAAATTATGATAAATTGTACAAGAAAGTATTTCATCTGTTCTAAATTAATTGATACAATATCTTTTTAGTTTATTCCATGATATATTTTTACATTTAGAAACAAATTAAATTTAAAATTTTATTTTACCTAAATGAGATGATTTATATTCACAAAAATATCTATACTTGTTTTAGACCATAAATTTAAAATGAAAAAAATTCTTTCAGTGGCCAGTCAAAAATCAAATATATTTATAAATTATAAAAGAGGAAAAAGGGAGTTGGGGGGGAGGAGGGAGGAGGGGGGTGTGAGAATTGGTGAGGGGGCATGGGCCATAATCTTCTGAATTCCACTAACATATTCCAACAAATAAACAAATGAAAAGTTAAATTTCCAATCAAATGATCTCTAGTACTAGTCCACACTCAACTTTATTCTATGAATTCCATTATTCCTTATTTCTTTTCTTTAAAATAATATACAAAAAATTAAAGGTGGTGCCAACAATATATTATACATTATACAAATAATAGATACAACAGTTAGCTAAAAACTCCTTTATTCCAATCCTTTCAACTAAATTAGCTACAAAAAACAAATTCTTCTATAAACTATACTAAAATAAATTTCTAATCATCATCTCTTTTTTCTACCTAATTTGTTTTTCATCTTATTCCTAAAAAGCAAACCATCTTTAATGTGTCAATTCTTCAATTATTACAAGAATATATGCAAAGAGGAGAATTACGGTAGGCTGACAGTCAACATACATTTTCATGATAAATCCGTACCATCTTCGAACTATTTAAATTGAGCCGTATTTTTTGTGTTACAAGAATATATGCAACTCCGCCTGTGTGAACTAGCTTGCACAAATTGTTGGTCTAAAGCCGGGACAAAAGAAAAGAATTGCGGAGGCAGACAGTCAGCATACATTTTCGTGGTAAATCCGTATCGTCTTTAAGTTATTTAAAATTGAGGCGTGTCTTTGGTATTACAAGAATATATGCAACTCCGCTTGTACAAATTGTTGGTCTAAAGCCTGGACAAAAGAGGAGAATTGCGGTAAGCAGACAATCAACATACATTTTTATAATAAATGTGTACCGTCTTCGAACTATTTAAAATTGAGGCGTATTTTTCGTATTACAAGAATACAGTGGCGGAGCCACATTCAACCAAGGGGTGTCAAATGAGACCCCTTCGCTAGAAAATTATACTGTATTTTTAGATTATTTTATTTTATTTTATGTATATTTATTATACTCTTGATTTTTTGATGTATTTAATTTTTTATATTTTGACATTCCTTAGTAAAAATCCTGGCCCCGCCACTGAAAGAATATATACGCATTCAATGGTCCCTAATATTGGCCAAAAGCTGCATCATTTTGTTTAAAGAGTCACTCCTTTTTTTCTTTCTCTTTCACCATTTCCTTTTATCCTTTTTCTTTTTCATCATCATATCATCAGCCTGGACCAGATGTACTAGTACTGATAATTATACAGTATCGGTTTAATTGAATCTATTATTTTCGACACGAAAGGTTAATATATATATGCAAAAAATCACTAAATTTAAAAAAAATATTAAATTTTGAACATTGACGTAACTGGTAAAGTTGTTGCCATATGACCAGGAGGTCATGAGTTCGAGACGTGGAAACAACTCTTGCAGAAATGTAGGGTAAGGCTGCGTACAATAGATCCTAGTGGTCCGGCCCTTCCCCGAACACCGCACATAGCAAGAGCTTAATGCACCTGGCTGCCCTTTATTAAATTTTGAACCTATAATTTCGAAAGTGCAACAGGTTTAGTGGTAAGAACCTTAGAAGCCGATCCCGTCAAATTTAAATTCTGAATCAACCTCTGTGTGCTGTAATTATCTGAATGTTCCACCAAATGTAGGTGTCCAGAAATCTACTGTTGTTTCATGAGTTACTGGAAAAGTGCTTGAAACTGGTACCAAACATAATCCTCGACTTCTAAGATCTTGGTTTTGTCCTTCTGCATCCTCGGATTTTTTACTACTCTGCAGAATGTCCGTGTACATATTATTGGCAACTGCTATATATATTCTAAATCCTAAACCTAAGAAATTATGTAATTTTTTTTATACATACAAATATTGTTTAATCTATAAAATATAGATAACCTAATTGTGTATACATATTTTACATTATAGTAAGTAAGGGCAGCCCAATGCACTAAACTCCCGCTATGCGCGGGGTTCGAGGAAAGGCCGGACTACAAGGGTCTATTATACGCAGCCTTACTTTTCCCACAAAATGTGAATCTAATCTAACACAACTTTATCAATCATATTTCGAAAATTTTACCAAAACTTAGCTTTTTTCAAATATTAAATAAAAATAAAATCCAAATACAACAAATTCTCAGTGTCAACCACAATGATATAACAAGTAATTTTCAGTACCTGTTGATGTTGCATTGCAGATGATCCACTTTTCATGTAAGGGGCGCTTAATGCCTGTAATTTTACATAGAAAAAAACGGATAAAAAACTGTAATATTATCAGCTTTGAGCCAAATCAGTACGGTTTTCTTCACAAAGATTAAACATTAAGAATGTCGTTACACCTTTTATGTAATTTTCTTTTCTTTTTAGCTATAAATATGAGACTTTGTTCCGTATACCTAACTTAAATAAATAAGAAAAGGTTGTTTTAAAACTTACACCAATTTGATCATGGAGGAACTTTATGTATTCAATTGCTTCAGAGAGTACAGAAGCTGTATCAGTCTGGAAAAGAATAAAAGAATAAGAAAAAATCAAAATGATTGAAAAATAGTTTTTTGTTTTTGTTTTTTATGAATTCAGAGAAGTAGTGATTCTCAGTGTACCTTTCCAAAAGGTGAGACTAATTGTTGAAGTGCAGTTATTCTGTCTCCCATCTTCTCTTTTCTCACCTAAAAATGAACTAAAAAAGTTATATATTAAAAAAATATATTTCAGTGCACAAGATATTCTGCATTCACGCAGAGCCCGGGGAAAGGCGGCACCCCAAGGGTTGTGATATAGACAGCCTACCCTAATGCATGCATTAAGGGCTGCTTTCGCGACTCGAACCCGTGACGTATAGATCACATGGAGACAAATTTACAGTTGATCCAAGGTTTCCCTCCTAAGAAAGCTATATATATTCTAATAATAAATATTTCCTCCATCGGCCCGTCCCAATTTATATTACTCCCTGTGTTCCAGTTTATGTGAACCTATTTCCTTTTTGGTCCGTTCCAAAAGAATGAACCCCTTTCTAAATTTGGTAACAATTTAGCTTAAAGTTACAATTTTACCCTTAATGAGAAGCTTTTATAACCACACAAATACTCTGGGCCCCTTTTTAACTTGTTTAGCACCACAAATTCCAAAAGTCTTCATTTTTTCTTAAAGTTCGTGCCCAGTCAAACAGGTTCAAATAAATTAGAACGGAGGGAGTACGATTTTTGAGTGGACACGGAATTTAAGAAAACTCGTGAACATACCTTAAAAGCTGGCGAAGGAGATGGAGTTTCATCCCGTGGTCTTTTATTTGATATTTCACTGCTAGTTTTCTTTGACATTTTATTTATATCCCTAACCTCTCCCATATTCTGTTGCAATGAGAGAATTAACATCAATACATGTATGTATTCAATCTACCAAATGGAAAATCAAACCCTAGAATATGACATGCAAAACTAAATGTTTAAAACTATGAAATGACTCAACTTTTTGAGAATGAAATCTTCATAAATAATGAATTGCGATGAACCTAGAGCGAATTTAGCTGAATCCACTACTTTTGTTTAGCGTAACTTAGACATATAAAAAAAGAAACTTAACATGTAAATACATAATAGAATACACTTATTTTGAATCTGTTGACTCTAAATTCTGAATTCACTTTCGGTAATGAAATATTATGGTTTAGACATAACATAATTAATTAGTTGCGTACAAGTGCGTTCTGTCTAATAGTTTAAACATTAATCAGATAAGAAGTTTACACAATTTAACATGATATAGAGTGGACAACATGTCACGAGTTCAAATCTCCCTTCCAACAAAAAATCTAAAATATATGTCCATGTGTCTAAGGGAAGCCCAATGCACCAAGCTTCCGCCATGCGCGGGGTCGAGGAAAGGGCTGGACCACAAGGGTCTATTGTACGCAGCCTTACCCTTTATTTTTGGAAGAGACTATTTCCACGGCTCGGACACGTGACCTTCTAGTTACATGACAACAACTTTATCAGTTACGCCAAGGCTCCCTTCATATGTCTACGTGTCTAGCCCATGGAAAAGATGAGGCGGCATATTAAGACGTTACTTAAACTTTTAGATGAGATGATTAGATAATTCGATAGTTACCTTTGCTTTCTCATCAACTATTGGAACGGGAAGTTGAGGATGCAAATTAGAAGGAAAGAGACTTGAAGGGACATCATTATTCATGGCAGCTGCACTGGCATTCCAAAAAGGAGTATTATTTGAGAAATGCAGCTGACTGTGAGGCTGCGGCGGCAGCGATGGCGGCAGCGGCTGCTGTTCCGGCGGGGATGTTCGGAGAAACTGAGGAAATTTAGACCAAGAAGAAGTTGTTGATGAATTCATCAAATGATGATCATGAGCTGCTGATTCTTGGCTTAAACCATAATTATTTGATGGATTAATATTATAAACAAAATTCATTTGTTTATAATCATCCACTGATGAAGAATCTTCAGAATTCCCAGAATATATTTTCTGTCTATTCCAATGATTATCTTGTTGAGAATTAGATGCTTCTAGCTGATAATTATTTGTATTTGAATTTAAATCTTCTTGTTGAAGTATAGAAGAAAACCCACTCTCAGCTTTTTCACCCCTCCTGAAAATAAAAAATAAAAATAAACAAAAAACTTTAATTTGCTAGAAAAATGGAGTGTTAAAAATTACTAAAATTTCAATAAATATTAAATTTTCAATCATAGCCAATAAATTTAATGATAAACACATAAAAATATAAAACCTATATATCAAATTTAAATTCTGAATTCGTCTGTTCGAAAAACCTAATATTACTTACAATAAAGATTGGTTCCAATCATGTGGTTGAGAAGTTAGACCTAAACCCATCATTTGAAAATTATTATCTGCAGATAAAACACCTCCACCTCCGCCTCCACTTCCGCCTCCGCCACCGGAAGATTCAGACAATACTGAACCAGAATCCAAGAAAGTCCTAGGTTTGATATCCACTTGAGTTTCTGTATTCTGCCAATTACTATAGTTGCTTGACATGTTACTTACTGTAGTGGAAGCTACAGTAGGTGCACTATTCCTTGATATCGACGTATTATCCCACCAATTTCCATTTCCTAGTTGAAATTCTTCCGCCATAGTAAGGACGTTTTCAATACCGATAGCAGCTTTCTTCCCGTTTTGTCAAGTCTGAAAATCCTTTTCGCGATTTTCAAGAAGTGACAAAAAAAATAATAAAAGAGTGTAAGATTGGTACGAATCGAGTTAGAAAAATAAAGAAAAATTCTTCGTTAGTCTTGCAAAGACTATATTAGTTAGCTTGTTCGTTTCCAGACTGCTGCTACCGCTCGAACTATTACTATTAGCTCAAGTGAGAAAGAATAAGATCGGCTCAAGATAAGAGCTCAAAAAAGAAAGAAAAGTAGAGTTTATAAATTGTGATGACTCCTTGTTTTTTCCTATATTTTCTTTGGTATTGAATTCAAGATTCTTATTCTGGAACTCTCTCTTTGCTTTACACTTGGGACTTGAATTTATGGTTTTGTGGTTTTTGGCTATGTTTATAAAAGGTTTGAAATGAATTTGTTTTGATTTATGTTGCTATTTATAGTATATATGGAAGTATAAATAGGAAACTAAACTATTTGAAAATAGTGAGACTTTGAGAAATGACCAAAATTTTGATTGACTTTTTTCATGAGTGATTAGACAAATGGAAAGGGTCAATTTCTAAAGAAATTATATTGAATTCTATCCTTAGCCAAACATTGATTAATTACTTCTTGTTTTTTGTTTCTTTTTGCCTTTTTACTAGTATTATCTTTTATAGGAGTCAATAGAAGTCTTGGCTTTTCCCCCACTTTGACTCTATTATTTTCTTCAAAGTAGGAATATATTTCAGTTTTGCTTTTGTGGCCAAAAAGAAAAAATGAATTCCAAATAGATTTTGTACAGACGTCTACCATTGATAATTGAAGACAAGAGTCACTACAAAAAAATAGCCTATTTGCGGAGGGTATTTTTACCTAAGCTAGCTTACACGTAATACCCACAATAAATCTTTTTTTAGGGTTTTCCACCCGGTATCCGGTACCCACATTGGAGCCCGGTTATATCCGAATTCGAGCCCAATAGGGCCCATTCGGGGGGTAGCCCAGGGGATTTTTGTTAAAATAGCGAGAAAGAAAGACAGGATAGAAGGGGACGCCAAGGCCTGCGGACGCCTGCAGGATTATCTAAGGTCTCCACTGTTCTGAAGGCAGCAAATACGGCCCGTACGGTCCAGCACTGGGATGTGCACAAGAAGTGCAGAGTGTAGCATCAGTACAACCGACCCCATGTACTGGTAAGTGCCGAGCCTAACCTCGACGAAGTAGTGACGAGGCTACGGCGGGGCATAACAGTATATATATACAACCTGCAACAGTTTATAGTAACGGAAAAGAAATACGGAATGAAAAGTAACCAGAACTTTCATTAATGGAACACCGGACCCAACCGGTCTACTAGTATTCAGCTATAACCAATCCTTAGGGAATTTCAACATCTCAATAATAACTTCAACAGAAATAAAAGCAAAAAAAATAATAAGTGATGTGGCGTGCATCCCGATCCCACCATATAAATAATAATAATATCAATGTTCCAACAATAACGGTATCAATAAGCTCCCCTATTCCTCCTTGTTGCGGCGCGCTACCCGATCCCACATGTCCTCCCTTGTTACTCCTCAACACATATCACCCTTATTACTCCTTGTTGCGGCGTGCAACCCGATCCCACCAGACAATCACAATCCTCCTTTATTCCTCCTGTTGCGGCGTGCAGCCCGATCCCAACGTATGTATATATCAACACCAATCACAAATAACAAACACAAGGTGCTTCACAAGTTAACTCAATTTTCACAATTCTTATACTTGAACTACACAATAGAATATCGCTACGATTATGAAACTTCACTCATGAAACCAAAACAGCGAGACCAACCAACGTGCACCATAAGGCACCAATGAATCCATATAAACCAACGGGATAATAAAATGAAGCTACGAAACCAATGATACCTCAACGGAAACATCAACAACTAACATGAAACAATTAAATAACTCAATGAAGAGAACACTGTTAACATGAAGCAATTAGACATGGAACATTTGAGATCAAGTAACAATTAAGGCATGGAAATAGTTTAAGCGGGTAGCAAATAAGATAAGAAAGAGTATAATAGGAAACGGAGAGGGGAAACAAACTAAAAATGGAAATTTTGTGGCGCATAGGTACTCGTCACCACACCTATACGCCACACACATGATATTTCATTTAGCACATAAGTCGGAAATTCCTATTCCCTCAAGTCAAGGTTAGACCAAACACTTACCTCAAGCCAACGGACACATCAACACTCAACCATCACTTTCCCTCTCGATTCCACCACCAATTTACTCGTATCTAGCCATAATTAATTCAATAACATCAATAAATGCTAATTAAATCAATTCTAATGCATGAATATGAATTTCCCAATATTTTCCCCAAAAAGTCAAAACCCGACCCCGGGCCCACTTGGTCAAAACTCGAAGTTCGAACTAAAATCCGATTACCCATTCACCCACGAACTCAAATATACAATTAGTTTTGAAATTCGACCTCAAATTGAGGTCCAAATTTCCCAAATTTGAAAATCCTAATTTCTACCCAAGAACACCCAATTTCCCATGAAAAACCCTAAATTTTGAAGTGAAATCATGTAAAAGATGAATTAGATTGAAGAAGATGAGTTAGAAATCACTTACCTATGATTTGAAGAAGTTTGAGTCTTTGAAATTCGCCTAAGGATGTGTAGGGTTTGAGAGAAATGTAAAATGATGAAAAATTCCGTCTAAAATCCTACTTAACAGGTCGCAGATATCGTAATTGCGATTAGGGGTTCGCAATTGCGAATCCTTTGAAATTCTGCTACCTTCGCATTTGCAAAGGAAATGTCGCATTTGCGATAGAGGGCCTTCGCAGTTTCCGGCCCAGTGTTCGCATTTGCGATGAGGGCCTGCCTAGGCCTGGTTCGCATGTGCGACATATTGGTCGCATTTCCCAAGCCTGCTCACTTCGCAGTTGCCAAGCCTGATCTCGCAATTGCAAGATCAAAGGCCTGTGCAAAAATACTAGATGCACAGCTGAGTTTTCCAATTCCAAAACACTCCGTGGCATATCCAAAACTCACCCGAGCCCTCGGGGCTCCAAACCAAACATGCACACAAGTCTAAAAACATCATACGGACTTGTTCGTGCGATCAAATCGCCAAAATAACATCTCAAACAACGAATTTAACACCAAAACTCATGAATTTCACAAGATAGTTCAAATTTCTATTTTCTCAACCAAGGGTCCGATTTGTACCAAATCAACTCCGATTCTTACCAAATTTCACAAATATAAATATTATATTAAACCTGTACCGGGCTCCGGAACCAAAATACGGGCCCGATACCATCAAGAACACACACCATTTCATTTCCAAAAGTCTTTATATTTTCCAGCAAACAATTTTCTTTAATTTTTTTTTCTCGGGCTAGGGACCTCGGAATTCGATTCCGGGCATAAGCCCAAGTCCCATATTTTACTACGGACGCTACGGGACCGTCAAAACATGGGTCCTGGTCCGTTTACTAAAAATGTTGACCGAAGTCAACTTTAATCAATTTTAAAGGCCAAATTTAATATTTTTCTTAAATTTCACATAAAAGCTTTCCGGAATCGCGCGCGGACTGTGCATGAAAATCGAGGAGAGATACAAGGAGGTTTTTAAGGCCCCAGAACATGGAAATGGACTTTAAAACAAAAGATGACCCTTTGGGTCATCACAGATTGGAACACCAGTGCTCCAATCTCCAGTATATTATGCTGGACCGGTATATTATACTGGAACTCCAGTATATTATAATGAATTATTTTTCCGAATTTTGAACAGTGTTGTCGTTCAGATTTATCTTTATATGAAAAATGGCTAAATTTCGATTACTTTTGAAATTGTGGCTATTTTTGAATGACCACTTATAAATTTGGCTATTTTTGAATTTCATCCATACCCAGGGCTCGAACCCGATACCTCATTATTTGATGTTACATAGTTTACATTAACGGTTGTGGAGAGATGAATGAGATTCTTCCACTCATAATAAAAGATTTTGGGTTCGAGTGATGAAAATAGATAAACGCATGATAGCAAGCACTTGCCTTTAAATAGACATTACACTACGAAAATCTATATTAATCGGGACGGTATATTCCGGATACTAGATGGTTATACCAAAAAATAAAAAGAAAAATATTACCTCAAAATCTTGAGCTACATTTTATTAAACTAGTGATAATGCTCAAATTTGTTTATGTACTATTTGAAACTGAACATTTATTTTTCCTCCATTTACACTTTTGGTTTAATATTATTCTTGCCGTTACGAAAAGAAAAAAATCTTATTTAATTTGTCCTAGAAACTTAAGGGCCGAAACTCTAATTTGAGAGTAATTTTAAATCATAGTCTAAAGTTGAGGCGTATATATTTAAAAGATCATTGGGCCATGCGGGCTCTCCATAATAATTATGACCCATACCTTTAGCCAATTTAGCTCTTAATACAGGATCATTCAAGTCAGGTTTTTTTGTTATTGGGATAGGTGAATTCTTATAGATCCATCCCCCGAGGGAACTGGACATGATAATTTTTAATCATCCAGCTCGAGCAAGAATAAAAAGAACCAAATGAATCCATATATCCATATAAAATATATATATATATATGGTACCTGTATTTACACATACACATATATGATATAGGAATGGTTCAATGTAAGAAAAATTTGACTGAATTCTTTTTTACGGAGTTGCAATTATCCATTACAAAACAAAGAATTCCGTTCTTANCTCTCTCTCTCTCTCTCTCTCTCTCTCTCTCTCTCTCTCTCTCTCGTCCTTTCTAAATGCCCCTTAAAATTTTGAACATTCATTAATGATTAAAGAATAATATAATTAAATTGCAACAACTATTAATTAATGTGTTAATAATAAATTACAGCTGTGGTGGTTCAAGAAAAGAATTTATGTTTTGCTTCCTTTTTACCCTTTTAGAGATAGTGGTAGAAGTCAATGTTAAATATCTTTTGCCACTAAACTTAGTTCATAAAAGCCATCATCTAATTCTTGTACTAGCTCTCTTAGTCCTGAAGGTTGTTGACAATGAATCTGGCATCAATAGTTCTGAATCAAATTTTATATTTCTCTTAAAATATTCAAAAAGTATGTAAAATTATTAATTGTGAAGCCAATATCTTAGAAGGATTAGAATTCAAGCTCATAAACTTCAAATTTTGGCTTCGTCTCTTCATCAAAGGTACCGTCCAAATTAAACGATGTTCAGTTTGTCATTTCTAAAGCAAACTTGCACTTCTAAACTACGCAACAAATTTGTTTCGGTTCTAGAATGTTTTTCACTGGCTTAATATCCGTAGCATTGAATTTATTGTACTTTTAAATTTATGGATTCATAACTGATACAGTACAACTGCCCGTGAATTTATCATTGGCCGTTATTCTAG